CAGTCAACTCTTTGGGAATTCAGGACCGTCTGTTCAATCACCTTTGAACAGAGAGGTTCAGGAGTTCATTAGGACTTTTATTTTTTTATAGGGTCGGACCCCCAATAGGTGTGTTGGTGGACTAGTTTCGCTTGGGCGTTGTGCGTTGTGAAGTTGGTCCCGCACTGAGTCCTAAATTTTACGTTTCCCGTCGTATCTCTTCGGGTGTGGTTTGATTTTCTGCAAATCAAGCCAAGTTGTTGCATCTCTTCACACTCATTTAATTTGTTAATTGCAACTCTTCAATGCTTTAATCACAAATAATTAATAAATTTAAAAATTAAAATAATAAAGGATATGCCCAGTTTACAGGGCAAATGCGTCAACTTGAGTACTTCTGTCGAAACTGTACGACACGGGACATCGCTGACGTTCGAAAATTCTTCAAATGACATGGATAATGTCTTCGCCAAGGCTGATCTTTTCTTTTGCCTCTGGAATGAAATTCGCTGTCAACAGGGATGAACTTCCTGACCTGGCAGTTATTAAATTTGCAAGAAAGCAACAGGGATGATCTTCATTTGGATCTTTAATATGTTCGTTCACTACACCCACTTAAAAAGCAATGTCAGGTCTTGAGGTGATAGTTAAATAAGTTTCTTCCCAAGTCTTTGATACCTCTCTTTTTCAACTGGGATGTTATCCTCTCTTTTTGATGTTCGTCGATTAAGATCAATAGGAGTATTTGCTGATTTGTATCCTAACATTCCTATCTTCTATAAGAAGTCCATAATATATTTTTTCTGAGATATAACAGTGTCTACTCGGATCTAGCTACTTTCATTCCTAGAAAGTATTTTAAAATTCCAAGATATTTGCTTTCAAACACAAAAGTTATTTTTTTTTTTATAGTTTCAAGTTCCATCAAACCATTGCATGTAAAAGTAATGTCATCTACTTTTACAATAAGGATGATTATTATACTTTTTTATTTGATTTCACAAACATAGCGTGGTCAGCTGACACTGATAGTACTCATTGGCAAGAATAGTCTTGGTGAACTTTTCAATCTATGCTCTAAGAGATTATTTCAATCAATGTAATAATTTCCTTAGTTTGCGCACCAACTGATTATTTGTGTTCTTTAATCCTGGAAGTATCTCCATGTACACTTCTTTCTCAATATCTCTATTAAGAAATATACTTTTAATGCCAAGCTAATGTAAAGGTCAATTATGATTGACAACCAATAACAATAGCATTTTTATTGTGTTGAGTTTTGCCACTGGTGCAAATGTCTTCTAGTAGTCGATCCCATAAGGTTAAGTGAACCCTTTTGCTCCAAGTCTAGTCTTGAACCTTTCTATGATCCCATCTTCTTTGTATTTAATAGTGAATGTACATTTGCATCCTACAGTTCTTTTCTCAGGTGGCAGAGTTGTTATGATCTAGGTACCATTCTTTTCAAAGAAAAAATCTCTTTTTCCACAGCTTTTTCCAAGCAGGAATAGATAAGAATTTTTTAATTGAATTTATGACTTGCACGTTGTGCAAGTTTTGAACAAAAGATTTGTAATATGATGATAATCTGTCATATATTATACATTCTTCTATCGGGTATTTTGTGCATTCTTGTGCTCCTTCCTCTTGGTGTTCATGATATGTTGACCCAATCTCTATTTGAATACTTAGGGTGTGTGGAGTTGATGCTGGTGATTTGCATTCCTAATTTTGCATATTATCCCTTACATGCTCAGTTGGTTTTTTTCTTTTTGGTGTACACACAGAGTTTTTAGTTCTTGATGGGAGCTATGAGAGGATTTAATGGACTAATAGGATCATTTTCAGGTATTTGTGATAGTGGGGACAAGAGTTGGTTCATCAGGGATATAAGAGAGACCAGTTTGAGGTTTTTGAACGGTATCCCAAATTTGATACTCTCCAACTCTTCCCTAAATGTTAGATTTGGAGGAATAGGTTCATTTTCAGGTTGATTTATGATATTGGGGACAAACGACTGGGATGATCACGAAACGTGTGATATAGGGAAGGACATGAGTTTCAGAGGTATCATATGCAGCGATTTTGTGGCTGCTTCTCTAGAAAACTTTAGTTGTGATTGTATCGCGAGAAGATGAGAGCAAGAAGAAAGGGAGGTAGACACTGTGAGATTTGGGGGCTTCGTCTTCTTCATGTGTATGGGGGTTCGCAGAAGGCAAGGCAAGACGAAGATTAGGAGTGGTTTCGAACACGAAACGGAAGGGGTTTCATGGAGTTTGAATAGGGACGAGGCTTCTTTTTGGTCTCCGCGCACGATCGAGAGAGACCCAAAGGAAACATGCAACAATAATATTTTTAAAAGTTTAAATAATTATTTAAAAAAATAAAAACGAATTGAATTTATTTATTACGAGATCTATGAAGCAGGTGTCGTTTTACATGTTGCATTGTTCGATCATTTCGTCCACTGCCCCTGTGATATTAAGTCGAGGTTATCATCTCTTTTCCTTCCCATTAGAACTCAACAGAGGAAGCGGTGGGAAAGAGCAATAGCCTTGAGAAAGAGAGTGCATGAATAACAGAAGAAGAGAGAAATAGGACTATCAAAATGGCTCCTTGTTTGTGAACAACTCTTGTTCAGCTCGTTAAGAAACTTGTGTTTGATTTATTTGCTAAGCAAACGAGTTGAACACGAACAAATTTTTTGCGCTTGATATATAAACGAGCCGAACACAAAACACAAACAAGTTTTGTTCGTTCTTGTTTGGCTCGTTTTGACTCGAAATAATATATATGTATGTATATATATATATATATATGTATATATATATATATATATTTGATGAGTATTATTCTTAAATGTATTTGATGACTTTTACATCGTGATTATAAGTGCACTTAAGGGTTAGTTTCTTCTAAGGGAAAATGACAGCCGAGTGACTATACTGGTGGGTAAATATTTTTATTTTACAATAGTTCTATTTAATTATACATGTTTTTGTTGTTTCTCAGTTTTTTTTTTAAATACAAACGATCACTTTTTCGTTTTAAATGTTAAATGCAAGAAAAGAAATAAAATATGATATATGCATACATATGAGAGTCATCTCTGGATGGTGCTGACAGGAGAATGCAATGCACCGATACACTAAAATGAAAATGAAAATGCTTGTTTGTCTTTAAGGTGGGTTGAAAAAGGGTAAACCTATATTCTTTTAAAGTCTGCATTTAGACGGTGATTCCTAATTATAAAGAGTGTAACATAAGTAAATAAAGTAAATGAAACTAATATTTTCTTACAAAATATTTTAAAATAAGAATTATTGTAATGTAGAAATATTATTTCTTGAGTAGTTTTAAGTCTACCTTTAGTTACTAACATTTTACAGGAAAATCAGTTGTATACTAGATGTACCTCATAGAGTATGTGTACATGTGTCGTGGAGTGTAGGATGATAGGTACTGTGTGTTAGTTTTATTTTGTTCATTGTATATATTTAATAATTTATATGAACTTGTTGTAATTTCAAATTTTATAAACATGACTTCTTTGTGTTTTGGATTTCATTTTAATCATGGAATGAGGCTGTTAGATAATTTTACTCCGTTCAACTGACAATTCCCACATTGGTAATTTCAAGTTTCCGGGTCGGGTCATGACAGAACAGCTTGAACAAAGAGGAAGAGGTCAATCTGCTATTTCGTTTGAGGCTTCTAGAATGAGTAGGGGAGCGGCGGGGGTAGTTTTTAATCTGTAAGTTTAAAACGAGACAGGGAGACTCAAGCGGGAGTAGTTTGACATGCAGATGTTAATTATACAACAACAACAACAACAAAGCCTTAATCCCACTACGTGGGGTCGGCTACATGATTCTTTTTTTCTCACTACGTCCTATTTAGTGTCATATTTTCATTTAGTTCTAGTAAATTAAGATCATTTTTAATACAATAAGCCCAAGTCTTCCTAGGTCTACCTCTGTCTTTCTTAACACAAGTCGAATCTAAAACATCTACTCTCCTAACCAGATCATCAGATGATCGACGTTTAATGTGACCAAACCATCTAAGACGACTTTCTCTAATTTTGTCTGTCACAGGAGCTACACCAACCCTATCACAAATATATTCATTCCGCATTTTGTCTCTAAGCTTTTTCTCCATTCCGCATTTTGTCACAGGAGCAGATGTTAATCATGTTTAATTAAAATTTATTAATAATATTAATAAGCTTTTTTTTTTTTTGAAACGTGGACACACTCAAAGAAGAAAAAGAAAAATTCCAAGAACATAGATCTTTCTACACATTTTAGTGGGCATGTCAAACTCCAAGCATGAATTGTCAAACTCATTGTCAAAGGCACCAATCCTCTAGAAACTCTACATTTTCGTGGGCATTTATGGAACCAAAATATCTCCTCACCTCTCAAACTCTAAAAACCAACTTCCTGTATGTAGCCACCTGACACCAATGAAAGAGGAAAATAACATATAAATTGACACTAGTAGGATCACACAATACCCTAGATTTCACATAAATGAAGTGTGGGGAGGTGTTCTCATATTTGGAGTCATGCAAGGTGATATGTTAATAAGCTGTGGAGTCAAATCAACTTTTTTTTTTTTATGGTAGACAAGAAAAATATAGGGTGTTAAGTAAAGAGTGGTGTTGAGTTTAGTTTCTTGAGCTTGATAGAAAATATATTTTTTTATATCAGTCATTATTTTGCACTGTAGTTGTTGAATCCTCTATGGGCTCCTTTTGTTACTTTTAAATAAAAATATGTTTTGAAAACTAAATATTTAAATTTCACTCATTTTAAGTGAGTAAAATCATTATTTTTGAGGGAGTTTGGAGAAGGTTTGTGAAGCTTTAACAATATTGGTGTTTAATTTCATCCAACTAAATAATGAATTTAATAAATGTTATCATTTTTAAAATCATGATTTCTAAATTAAAGCAATCAAATTGAGCCCTTAGCTCATAGTCTTATATTTTGACTGACTTAAATTTCTTTTTGCAGACAATTGGTTTTATCGGTCCTGCCATTTGTCTTCTTGGTTTAAATGCTGCAAATAATCCTTCTGCGGCATCTGCTTGGCTTACAGCAGCTGTTGGATTAAGCTCTTTTAGTCATTCCGGCTTCCTAGTGAATTTCCAAGTATGGAAAATGACAATGTTTGAAGTCCAAGTTATAATTTAACTTATTTACTCCTCTATTTACCCACATTTCTATTAACCTTTTATCAGGAAGTTGCTCCAAAGTATGCAGGCGTCCTCCATGGTACTAAGTTCCTATTTATTCACATATATAACATTTTAATCCTCATTTTTATTTTTATAACACTTTATTGTCTAAATGACAAAAAATATACTAGTGAGAAAGCATGTTTCATTCTAAGCAAGTTAAAGTCAGAAGTATTTTTCATGTCATTTAGCAATTAAAATATTATATAAATAAATATAATGATTTAGATATCTTATTTATATTTATATACGAATTTATTGGTATTTATGTAAATTACCCGCATCTAAATTGTTTCATCTTTATAGGAATGTCGAATACTGCTGGAACATTGGCTGCTATCATGGGAACCGTTGGCGCTGGCTTTTTTGTTCAAAAGATGGGTTCATTTCGAGGATTTATCCTGCTTACTTCACTATTATACTTTTTTTGTGCTCTCTTCTGGGATATTTTTGCTACGGGAGTGCAAGTTGATTTTGATGCAGTGGCTTGAATTGGCTATGCCTGTGCTCTTCTGTTCAGTTTTTAAATTTTGTCCCCAAAAATTCTCAAATTGTCCCATTGAACAGGTATGTGTTGCAAAATACTGTTCCTGGTGTATTTTATTCATTCGTTGTAAAAATTTTTTGTGCCAGCTGATGAAGCAACACCCATTACAACTATGGTTCAATTTGTGTTTTGCATTATTGCATCATCAATATTGGGTGTGATAAAATCTAAGCTAATACATTGAAAAATAGGGGGATGATATGTAGACCAACCCTTTTTTTATTTTTTTTTCAAGGAAAGTTGAGGGCCACACCCATCCAATTTCATTAAATTGAAACTTACAATTGATTACATGTGTAGAAAGAAAAAAGAAGAAAAGGGAATTTAGGGAATGAAAGACTATTAGATCTTACAATTCAATGCAATTCAAAGATATAAAGCTACCCCAAAATAAGCAAGGAAGATTTCAATACATTACACTTAGATCTCATGTGTATCAATAAGGAGTAAATGAAATATTATATTTGCATGGATTCTTTCCTTTTAGTTGAATATTTAGATTAAGAATGTGTATTAATTAAGTTATCTAAAATAAATTATACAGAATATTATGTACCTAAAATAGATTAAACAAACTATTTTTTATTGGAATGAAAGCAAAGGAAAAGACATTCAACCTATTTGCTCAAAATATTCAAAATATCAACCTATTTGCTCAAAATATTGACATGGTATCAGAGCTTGAATCGGTCTGAATCTTTGGTACTTGGTATTCTTTAGCTTTTGTTATCGTTCGCCGGCATCGTCGACTACTTCTAAGGTCCTCGTCGGGAGCGCTCGTTCTTGTCATTGTTTGAGTTCTGCGACATCTTCGTCCGCCTTTGTCAGAGTCCAAAGAAACCCACTGTTCCTCTGCCTATTCAAATCCGCTCTGCTGCGATCCACTCTGCTTCGACCGTGGCAGCTGAGATCTTCTCATCTGCCCCGACAGTCGCTGCGATCTTCCCACCAGCCGAGATCTTCTCATCTGCCCGCGATAGCCGCTGCGATCTTCCTGCAAGTCGAGCTCTTCCCACCTAGCCGAGACCTTGTTCGATCGCGACAGTCGCTGCGATCTTGTTTGAGTTCTGCGACCTTGTTCGATAGCGACAGCCGTGATCTTCCAGCCTTGTTCGATCGCGGCTGCTCCTCTGTCTTGTTTGATTTTTTTTGGATCTCTTGCTTTTTCCTTGGCTTCGAATTCCTCGCCTAATTTAAGGCAGTGCACGATTTTTTTTAGGTTGATTTAGATGAACGATTCAGATTTTTGGATATCTTAGCTTTCTTTGATTTCTGGTTGATTTTGATCAGCGACAATTCTAGTTAGAATGTCTTTTGAAACTTTAGCTATTAGATTTATGGGAAAGAATGCTTCATGGGATTTTTCAGCTTAGAATATTCTTAAAAGGGAAGGAGCTTTGGGGTCATATTGATGGGTCTTCTCCAGCTCGTACTGAGGCAAAAGATCTTGGTCAATGGGAAACAAAGGATGCTCAGATTGTTTCCTAGATTTTGAGATCTATTGAAGCTCATATAATGAACAATTTACGATCCTTTGACACAGTTAAAAAAATGTTAAGACAATGTGGGAATACTTGAAGCGCGTTTATAATCAAGATAATTTCGCGAAACGCTTTCAATTGGACCTTGACATGAGTAATTATAGTCAGGGTAATATTTCAATTGAACAATATTATTCTTGTTTTTCAAATTTATGGAGTGAATATATAAACATTATCTATGTTAAGGTGACAAATGAGAACTTAGCTAGTCTTCAGGCTATTCATGAAGAAAGTCGCCGTGATCAGTTTTTATTGAAGCTCAGGCCTGAATTTGAAACTGCTCGGTCTGGGTTGCTGAACAGAGATCTGGTTCCTTGTTTGGATATCTGTTTTGGTAAATTTCTGCGCGAAGAACAAAGATTGGCGACACAAGCTGTTATTAATACAACAGGTAGATCATCAGAAATAATTAATATGACATATGCTGGTTAGACCAAAGGGAAGGGACCAGTGCAGTGCTACAGTTGCAAGAAATTTGGTCATATAACACGGAATTGTAAAAATAAGAGTTGTAATTATTGCAAGCAAAATGGACATATTATTACAGAGTACTCTAAATGAACTGGGAAATGCAAACCAAAAGCACTTATGCCACGATATCCGACACTCACAATCCTGGCTCGACATCCACAGTTGCTGGCAATAATCACTGGCAATAATCAATCAGTTAGTTGTCACACCAGATATGATTCAACAGATGATTCTCTCTGCCTTTTCTGCTCTCGGCCTTCAAGGAAAAGGTAAAAATATTACTTTCGTTCCTTCTCCTTGGTTTGTTGATTCAGGCACCACAAATCATATGACTGACACAACTGATTTATTGCATAACCAACGTTCGTACACTGGTACTCAACATATTCAGGTTGCTGATGGAAATAATATTCCAATTACGACAGTTGGTGATATTAACTCCTCCTTTAGACATGTCTTGGTTTCTCCTAAATTATCTACTAACTTACTTTATGTTGGTCAAATTGTGGATAATAACTGCGTCGTAGATTTTTCTCGTAATGGTTGTATTGTGCAGGATCAGGTGTCGCGGAAGGTAATAGCGAAGGAGTCTAAAATGGGTAGACTGTTTTCATTATAAGTTATTATTTTTCAAAATACATCATTAACTTCTTCGGTTGTTGAGAATAAGACAAACATCTAGCATAAAAGACTAGGTCACTCAAATGATATAGTGTTGAAATATTTTTTTAAAAGTGGTGTTTTTCATTCTACAGATAAGAGTTTAGTATTTGATTGTTCTGTGTGTAAACTTGAAAAAAGTAAGACATCACATTTTTCTATTTCAGACAGTCGTGTCAATAATGTTTTAACATTATTCATAGTGATGTTTGGGAAATTATACCAGTTACTTCACATACTCAATATAGATATTTTGTGACATTTATTGATGATTATAGTCGATTTACTTGGATCTATTTTTTTCATTCAAAAGCAGAAGTATTTACTGTATTTCAACTTTTTTAGCATATGTTCAAACTCAATTCTCCACTTGCATAAAAATCTTACAGTCTAACAATGACGGTGAATACATGTCTCATGAGTTTCTCTCATGAGTTTCTGTCTCATGAGTTTCAAACATTTCTCCATAACAAAGGTATTGTTTCACAACGTTTATGTCCCTATACACCGCAGCAAAATAGAGTTGCTGAACGGAAAAATAGACATATGTTGGATACTGTGCGCGCATTTCTGATAGAATATTCTGTTCCAACTAAATTTTGGACTGAAGCTTTATCTACGAAAATTTATCTCATTAATCGTTTACCATCTCAACAATTGAAGTACGATTCTCCCTACTATCGATTTTTTAGTAAACATATGCTACATACTTTCGCATGTGTTTGCTTTGTTAATCTACCTGCTCATGAACGTCATAAGTTGACAGCTCAGTCAGTACGACGTGTCTTTATGGGGCACAGTACTAATAATAAAGGTTTTGTGTTATGTTTCGATTAATAGTCGTTGACATATTTCTCGGAATGTGATTTTATTTAAACATGAATATTACTTTCAACATCATGTATCGACACCGGATACAATTATGCTTCCACAATTTCATAATTCTTCTGCTGATAAATGGTTCAATTCGGACATTGTCTACACACGACGCCTGCCCCCTTCACCTTCCATCCTCCCCGACCCTGATCCAAAAATTGCTTCAACAAGTCTTCGACGATGAACTCGACGTATCCATCCTCCAGATATATATGTGTATTCAACAATTTTAACTAATACTACTGTTCCTACTTCTTACTTTCAGGTTGCTAAACATATTTGTTGGGTCAAAGCCATGCAAGAGGAACTTCAAGACGATAACACTTGGGATACTATTTCATGTTTTACAGATATTAAACCCATTGGTTGTAAATGGGTTTACTCTCTTAAACTTCGATCTGACGACTCTCTTGATAGATATAAGGCAAGATTGGTAAATCTTGGCAATCGACAGGAATGCGAGATTGATTATGAAGAAACATTTGCACCTGTGGCTAAGATTACAATTGTCCGACTGATGTTATCTACTGCTGCATATAAATGCTGGTTATTAAAACAGATGAATGTTAATAATGTATTTTTACATGGGGATCTCAAAGAAGATGTTTATATAACTTCTCCTCTAGGCTTGTTTTCTATACCTTCACATGATGTTTGTAAGCTCCAACGATCCCTATACGATTTGAAACAGACTTCACGGGTCTGGTTTGAAAAGTTTCGTAATACCCTTTTTAGCTTCTCTTTTATTCAAAGTTAGTAGGATTCATCATTATTTCTTTGCAAAACTGACAAGAGAATTGTTTTGTTATTAGTCTATGTTGATGATATTGTCATCACAGGATCTAACAATCAATTGATGTCTCAGCTACAAAAGTGTCTTCAGGGTTTTTTTCATATGAAAAATTTGAGATCATTAATTTATTTCTTAGGACTTGAGGTTCACTCTTCTCCCACTTGTATTTTTCTTCATCAACACAACTATACAAAAGGACTCATTGCTTTGGTTGGTCTTTAAGATGATCGCTCTGATGATACTCCTTTGGAAGTAAATGTCAAATATCAACAAAATAATGGTGACTTTCTATCTGAACTATCTCTATATCGACAACCTATTGGGAGTCTCAATTATCTGACTATTACGCGTCCTGATATTTCATTTGATGTGCAACAAGTTAGTCAATTTATGCAAGCACCTATACATCCTTATTTAACTGCAGTTTGACGTATTATTTGGTATTTGAAAGGTACTTCTCATCGTTATTTTTTTTTTCTGCGGAGTCTCATATCACCTTAACAGCCTATAGTGATGTCGATTGGGCGGAATGTTTTGATACACGCCGATCTATTACTGGATGGTGCATGTTTCTTGGCAACTCTTTAATTTCTTAGAAGAGCAAGAAACAAGATCGAGTGTCTAAGTCATCTACTAAATCAAAATATCGTGCTATGTCCTGTGCTTATTCCGAGATCATTTTGCTTCGGGGTGTGCTGGCTGAGCTTGGTTTTCCTCAGCTTGAGTCTACTTCTTTTCATGCAGATAATACTAAAGCTATCCAGATTGCTGTTAATCCCGTCTTTTATGAGCGCACGAAACACGT